TACTTGGAAAAAACGTCAAGTGAAAAACAAATCAAATGAGTACAGTGTTGCATTTTCCTGCTATGCTTATTTAATCTCTATAGTGAAGCTATATTTAGAAGATTAGAACACGTGGAATGCATAGTAACTTAAACAATGTTACATTCCCAGGTGATACTGTGGTGATGGGCATGACTAAAAAGCTATTACAAAAGATGAGGTTAACTATGCTGATAAAGAATTTATTAGCATATTGACTAAAGAAATGGCTTTTAGCAAAATACCAAAGGTGAAAATCTCAATTCCAAGGCAAACCAAGCAAATGCATCACCCAGTTCATTATGGAAGATGCTGAACATGGCAATGAAATTATCAGAATAACTGAACACCAAGAGCTGCTTTCAACAAAAAAATTGACTCTAACATCAAACAGAATAAATATCCGCACAAGAACACATTTGTTTAAAATGTATGTTTGGTCAACACTTCACTATGACTGAAACAGTGGGCAACCAAATGATCAAAAGATTCAAAGCCTGTAAAATGTAGGCATACAGAAGAATGTTTAGAATATACTGGAAAGAGTAAACAATAAGAATGTCCTAGGAAGAATGAATTTCAAAGGAAGACACCATCACGAGCTGAAAACATAGTTATTTTGGCTAGTATGGCGGAACAATATACACTAAACTCTGCTTGAAGGCCACATCAATGGTAAAGGGAACGAAGGAGCACCAGAAGTTTTCTGGACAAGCAATGACCAAGGAATGAGCAAACACGAACTATCAGTGGGCAGTGAAGGCAGTGTACAGTAGAAATAGCTGGCACACCCAAACCTCAAGAGGAAGAAAACTGGAGAAAAGCAGAAGAGAAGTATTCCATTTTTTCGGAGGAGAGGCAACTTTGCATTTCTTACCCATCCTTTTTCTTCGTACTCTGTTTCGCCTCTTTAGGGTAGAACACTTTGACAGCGGTCGGTGACTTTTAGTGAAGCAAGGCAAGTCGCCTTCTACAACCAATAGAAAAGACATGTACTGCTCATCACAACTTGCAAGACAAGTGCAACAACAACTTGCACTATATAAAACTTTTAACATGATAAAATGTTTTGAGTGTAACACATTCTAAGAAACACATTAAAAGCCACGCAACAAGTAATTTATTCATACAAGACAGATTATATTGTCCCCATCTTAATCAGAACACCCTAACTTGCTGTCGTGTATGGCTTCAACGGAGCCTTGAGGCTACCAATTTCCTTCAGGCTACCAATTTCCTTCAGGCTACAAAACCACAGATAAAAGAGCTAAACCCAACCTAGCCTTCAATTGACATCTACACATATTCACTTTACTGTTATTTAGTGACTGGTACAATCAGGAACTGATTTTTTTCTTGTGCCATTCCTGCGGAATTCTGAATATATATGTTAACTGAGGGACTCCGGTGCTTCCGTGACGAAGAGAAAATAACCGGGCTTGATGTTGCATTTGGGACTCTCCTGCCTTTACGGCTAAACACTGCCCACCCCTCCAAGCCTTTTCTCCTTCAAAAATGCTGAACATCTTTATTTTATTATTTTTGAGCTCTCTTGGCACCATAAGTGAAAGATGCAGCTTTTCCACTTATCCTTTTAAATCACTGCCATCATATTTATTACAAATAAACATTAGCAGAGTAATCATGTAAATAGATCCCTGAAATGTGTATCAGCTAACTGTTGATCAGTAGTCAGCCAAACAGGAAGGAAGACGTGCTGGATCCAGTTCTACGGAATGATGTGGGATATGGTACAATGGAAATGCACTTGGAAAACAGAGATCATAACATCAGATCTGGAATAGTTCCAGGGAACCAAGTAGGGCACGTTACAATAGAAACACACTTTGAAAATACTGATCATAGCATTAGGTTTGGAATAATTATGGAAAAGAACAAGAAACAATCAAGTGCGAAAATGCTAATTTTAGTGAATTAAAGTCAGATCTGGCCCATTCAAATCAAAACTTTATAGCCAAACAATAATTGCACAACAGGAGATTTGAGGAGGAAATAGGTCAGGTAGCCACATTCTTACAAGGGTGAAGACATTATATCCAGAGCTGGATTAAAATACAACAGATGAGGATGCTCATGGAAAATGTAAACTTAATTAAGTAGAAAACCAAAATAAACAATGATTAAGAAAAGAGTTTGCCATAGAATCCATCCATGTTTGTGCTAGAAGCCAGCATTCTGAGAATGTAACATTCTGGGTGCTACATTTAACTATTTCAAAATATTTGTTACATGCAATTCCCCCAGAAATAGGGACATAGCACTGTGTAAAGTCTTCCACAATGAGTGGAAGAGAAAGACTTCAAGGCTACAAGCCGTTAAGACTGTCAGTGAGAGACACACACAGACAGAGAGAGAGAGACACACACAGACAGAGAG